CGTGTACACCTAATTTTACACTAAACACAATTCTGGGTCATGAATGTTCATTTTTACGGATTCGACTAAGCATCAAAAGACGTTTAAGTACTAACTTTATCCAGCGGTTGCAGTTTTGAAGAAGACACATAAATTTTGGCAATCTTATTGGATTACCTACTGATGTCAACTATAGATAGCTACAGCCATACTATAGCACTATTGCAAATGTTGATGTGCGTGTGATTACAGCTCGAACTTTTCCCTCCGAGATCTACAGATCCGTTCTCTCGGTGGCCATTACGGCACCTTATTCGTTTAGTTATTTATTATGTAAGTAAAGTCAAAGTTCATTATATTTACTGTAGGACGGCATGGTTATTACAGTTATGCTTAAAACATCCGGTACGCAACTTGAATCACATAATGTTGGTCTCATAAGTTGGCCGGCTAAATGTCGAATTTTTGTGAAGGTGATTGGTAAATGAGGTCTGAAATGCTTTGGATTTAAGTTTGTCATACTAATCATGATGTAGATCGTCGCGGGTCGGGAATGCTGTTCATGAATATGAGCCTCTGGCATGGCTTGAAACTAGTCGAGTTCCTCGTCAATAGTTACGTGAGTAAGCCGAAACATAAAAATGTATTTAGTGTAGGATCTTATTGAAGCCATGGCATAGATGGTCCTCGTTAAGGGTAGGTCAGAAGAAGTTCACCCAGTTGAACCAGCATGATTTGCACTATAATCTTAGCCTCGATCGTAAGCGAAGATCAAGGTGTGATGTATCATAGAAGAGAGAAAAGGGAAACGGGCTAATACTGATGATGAATCATCATCAAAAATTAAGTTTTGAAAATTATGTAAGAACTCATCGGTAATATTGTATTGGGACACAAACATGGAAAAACGATGGTAAAAAGCAATCAAGAAACTGTTTCACGACCACGGAGTGAACGCCTCTTCTCATTTGGAAAAGGAATGGTCATTAAGACAAGCTGAATATAGGTAATGTGTAGACTACAGAGTCAAATATGTCATTAAAATACCAAAAAAGTACCGACTAGACGGACTAGGTTCATAAAAACTATAAATACTCAAACGCGGTCAAGCGGTCATTACTGACCGTGAGTAACCTACAGTAACTTATAAAACCTGACTAGTGACTAACATCCGTAACTATGTAACTCGATTACATAATATATGTTATTGTAATCGGTCGTTGATTCCTTTCTCAGGTCCCACACTCGTTTAACCAGCTCAAATTGATCGTTATTGAAAGAATCGTTATGGTTAATGAGGACGAATACTTCTTTAGAATGTTCACTGTCTACTAGAATTTTATTGTGCTGCTAAAAGTTGAAGAATATTTTGCTGTGCTTTTTATATTTAAATTCACTTACCCTATTTATATGACACGTCTATTCGTGGAGGACACTCGTAGAGTACCTACGTAAATGACACCAAAATCTGGTCTATAAGGTATCGAAACCAAGCCTCTTCTGAAAAAGTTACATTTATATATAACATCACGCCTTTTATTTATTTTTATAATTTTTTTATGGCATAAGTCGGTGAACAAGCAGACGGATCACCTGATGGAAGCAATCGGCTTCGCCCATGGACACCTGGAACACCAGAGGCGTTATAAGTGCGTTACCAGCTTTTTGGGGATTAGGAGTTTGAGGATCATTGGGGATTCAGGGATTGGGGACATTGGGGAAGGAGAGGGTAATTTGGCCTCCGGTAACCTCACTCACACGACGAAACACAACGCAAGCGTTGCTTCACGTCAGTTTTCTGTGAGGCCGTGGTATTACTCCGGTCGAGCCGGCCCATTCGTGCCGAAGCATGACTCTCCTACACTTCCACTATCCCCGAAGGGACAGGCAGAGGTGCACATTATGCCACTGTACAATGTAACACCCACTGTTCACTATTTTTGTTATGAGTCCCATTTAATAGGGGGTGAACCTATTGTCATATACCGGGCACAATTCCAGAGTCCGCGCTACTAGGTACTGAGATTTTTTTTAAAACCCAGTAATACTTTTTTGAACAGTCTTCTGAATAAAAATTAGGTGGAATGGTCACTGTTACTGTCGTAAAGCCTTAAGTCACATAGGACTCACGATTATGTAGCTAAAAATGCGTATCACATTTAACGCATGCAATTCACCAATGCCTTCTTAATCGGAGATCATACGTGTTCTACGTATATCACACTAAATACACACAGAATAAAATGACATGCAATTACCTGAGTGTACAGTTTACTTAAGTAGTCGTGACATCGAAACATATTTTCGATTAAATCAATGAACTGGAAATCAAACGCAAGTAGCAATCGATCAGTCAGTTATTTAAACCTCTCGTACGGATGACATAATTGCAACATTAGTACATATTCATACGTATACCATCTATCGAGTAAATGGGTAGGTTTAACTTTAATATTTTTATAGAATAACGCCTTATTCCATAAAAAATATGCTCGTTTACCAGGTGTAATTATCAGGTGACGGATTACCTGATGGTAAGAAATAGGCGCCGCCCACGGACACCCGAAACACCAGAGGTGATACAAGTGTGTTACCGGCCTTTTGGGGATTAGGAATTTGAGGATTTTTGGGGATTCAGGGATTGAGGATATTGGAGCCTCCGGTAACCTCACTCACATGACGAATCACAACGCGTGTTGTTTCACGTTGGTTTTCTGTGAGGCTGTGGTATCACTTCCTTCAAGCCGGCCCATTCGTGCCGAAGCATGGCAAATAACACTGTTTCTATAACTTTACCCCATAAGCGAGTAGTTAGGAGGTCTCGGCTTTAAGTCTTAGCCAGGCAAAAGGTAGGAAGGTAAACTTTATCCAGGTTTACTTAGTTTCCGAATGGTTAGGACTGATACACAATAAAAAAATAATCTTTAGATCTTTATTTCCGGGTATAAACAAATGTGATATATGATGACATTTTGAGAACTAATGAATTAGATAGTTGAATATTTAACCGAGGTCAAAATGCCATGCAAAATGTATTGTTCAAAAGAAATTATGAAACAGTCAGGAAGTAGAGGTGAAAGAGGTCAGCCACTCTACCCACATAGGAGTCTTAAGTGTTCAACCACACATTAGCATAGCACAATTATTTAATTTAATTCATAACAAAACCGACCCAATCCATTACATAAACCTATGTCGATGATTGTTATATAATACAACATTAGTTTACCATGTACGGCGTACATACATGGGTCCAGTCCATGTATTAATTATAACTTAATTGAAGTGAAATCATTCCGATCCATCACTTTAAATTTTATTAAACAGAATGATCATCAGATAGGGGATAGGAGATATCATATGAACTATCCCTAATTTGATGATATGATAATCCCAACAAAAATTGCTTCTGAAAACAAACTCATTCCCAATTCCAACAAACATAGTCCTTTCATATAAATCCTATAATAACAAAGAGTACTATTACAGTCAAATTAACAAAAAATAATATCTCGTTCTTTCATTACAGTTCATTGTCAATGAACTAACGGAGGATATTGCAAAAAAGCTCAAAAAAACAAACCATGCTAAAAGTTGAAGATGAATACTATACAAACACTAAAGTGTATACGCGAATTTCGCTCTTACCGTCATTAATATTGACACTAGATTGCGAATCATTTGATTCGCCTTCTAGTTTATGTTCGTAACACAAATAATTGTATGGCAGCGATTACGTGAGTTTAAGTCACGTTCACTTTTATTTTTCGAGAGGAAATATCAGTTGCAGTGTTACATAAGGCTGGATGTGGCCGCACTCCGTAGCACGTGTGACCTTATCTCTTTATCAGATCATGTTTACTGTACGTTGGTATGTACGAGTACATTCATAAGTTTTCCGGTCTAAAGTCAAAACAACATTTTTGTACAGGCTCATGCAATTGAATTCGACCAGTGGCCTATAAGAAAGAGAAAACAGACCTTGTTGCTACCAGTATTTAGTAGTTAGCAGTTTATTATCTTGCGAGCTTTTTCAGTGACTCTTGAGCTTTTTCAAACTTTTATCACACTCACTCACTTTTACACTCAAAGGCTCACTGAAAAGACCTGTTCTTTATTGCGAGGAGAACCGCAAACTATCATATTCGAGTTGATGCGAGAGCATCATGTATTTATTTATTTATTTATATATTATAAATAGTCATCATGTATTTATGTATTATAAATAGTCTCCAGGTAGGTAGGTACGACAATTAAACCTACCTATAGAAACGACGTAAAAGTTATGTGTACAACAACTTTAGACTAAAAAAACTTTATACCAAAAAATTGACTTAAAAAAACTTTGTGTTCATTATACCAAAAAAGCTGTCTTGATATCTTTCATTCATGCTCTTAATATGAAGTGTTTAGTCATGAATACGCAGGCTGGCTGGTACCTCCTAATAGACACTTATATCTAAAACATTAATATTGTGCGCAGAACTGGTCGCATATACGGAGACAGTAGAAAGCTCCGGCCAGTGCACTTGTATGCCTGCATTCAGGAAATAAGGAAACGCTGCTGTGTAGGAGAATAAACTGGTTCCTGCAACTAGGTATATCAGCACGCGTTGTCGTCATACTGACAGCTGAGATACACGATTTGTCGATTACCGTTGCAGTAAATAGGTAGACTAGACGCTCGCTGCATATCTTTCTCGGGTTGAAGCCCCAGTTGATGATGAGTAGGTACTTATGAGGAAGACAATGCACCTGTGAATCAAGTCTTTCTCGTTTTGGTTAGATATTACCTATTCGCACTTCAAATTGGACAATTTGATTGAATTTGACAAACATTTACAACTTGTTTACAAACTATGAATTATTTCTGCAACGAACTTAACTTTTTTGTCAAACAGACATTTTACGTCAATCTGACAAAATCAATAACATTGCAAAAACATTTCTATTCTTACAAACAATCACAAAATTCATGTGAAATGAAATGGATAACATAATACAACAGCCTTTGAACAGTAATGTGGCAGAGTACTCATTATGGAACAAATAATTTACTCTGGGAAATTTTATTGCGAGTGATCCTCCTAGGTTTGGTGTGCATAAGTCAGATAAAATCTCGCCCATATATTCGTCACATTTCTGAAACTGAATTACTGAACGAGTACAGGCGTCCTCGGCTCGACTCTTACGTGCCAGCATGGGCCACAGTTCTACTAATAGTTTTCGTGCCTCTAGTGTGCATCTGTACACGATACATGACAACCAGAGACTACGTGGACACCGCGCAATCGTTGCTCGCCTGGACACTTGCACTTACAATAAACGCAGTAATCACAGAGTCTGTTAAACTGATTATTGGGCGACCGCGGCCCGACTTCTTTTGGCGTTGTTTTCCAGATGGGCAGGTAATGCCCGGTCTCCGGTGCACAGGCAATCCGCGCGATATTATTGAAGGCAGGAAGTCTTTTCCGAGTGGACACAGCAGTTTTTCGTTTTGCTCGTTGAGCTTTTTAAGTTTGTGGTTGTGTGGGAAGCTCGGTGTACTATCACGAAGGCGTGGAAGGAGCTGCGGTCTTGTTATTTGCCTGGTGCCACTGATGATAGCCAGTGTGGTGGCTCTGAGCCGTTACTGCGACAACCATCACCATTGGGAGGATGTCTTCGTGGGATCATTGTTAGGCGTTGCTTGCTCATACTTCTGCTACCAACAATATTATCATCCGTTAGAGTCGGAGTGGTCGGGCGAACCCTACGTGCTGATGGATAATGAATTGTTTACTACTACCTACGATAGCAATGACTCCACGCATCACGTGCAGTGTTGCACAAAAGACATAGATAATGTTTATCTAATGCTACAATTAAGAAATAAAAAGAAAATGTTAGACATCAATAAATCATTCAGCTGAAAGATATGTTGTTGTTTCGTTTACCTAATTATCAGTTAATTACCTCGGGCTTAAAAAATTTCGATATATCAAAAATCAGTGTTGTTATATTGCCTGTCCATTCAAACAACGATGTGTGTCAGGGTACGTTTTCATAGAAGTGGAGCTGTGCGGAGTAAAGCCGTGTGAATGGATAGGTGTTTCCACTAAAGCTGCGCAGAGATGAGCCCTGCAGAGCCGAATTGTGTAACCGGGTTTAGTGAGACGAGCCGACCCGACACCGCTGTTCCCAGCTATTTCCACGTAGGTACCACACATTTTAAAGTATTTCTTTTCATCTCCACTAACACTTTTTCCACAAAATCGAAGCGGGGATGAGATGTGTATTTTGAGCAATGTGTTTGGTCAACTTTTATGTTTCTGCTTAGCTCCACGCAGTTTGGCTTCTATGTAAACGCGGCCTTACCTGTAGCATACGTGCTGGCACCCGCATGTGTATCATGGGCAAAACTTTGTTCGCATGGTACCATCAACCAGTCTAGTTGTTTCACGATAATGCTCGGTACTTCTAAATCTAAAGCAATGCTTCTGTGTTCATAGCTATAAATTGCATTATTACTATGCGTTATTCGCCAACCGTTAGTCCATTAAATCCATGTCCGTAAGGATTGAGGAGTCACATCAGATTTTCAACCAACTTCTTAAAATCTGATCTCGCCATTATTTAGCAGCAGTTTAGCTTAATTTGCAGCACGAATTCTAGATTTAGCAGCAAACTTTAATGCAAACTTGGCTCCTCAATCTAAACGTTTGAATTGAGGAGCCACCTAGAACTTGTTAAGTAATAGATGAATATTTATGAAAATTTTGTGTCATTTAGTAGTAATTTTGCACATTACCGTATAAAAATTTAGCTTCTGTAGTGCTATAATTAAAGAAAATACAATACTTTTAATATGGCTCCTCAATCTAAACACAAGAGGTGAATTTCTATTGCATGTGGGCGATCAATTTATATATTCACATATTGATAATTTAGCAAGTGTTGTGTTTGTTTTTGCAGTATAGGAATAAAATAGTAAAACAGAGTAAATTCTGTATATGAACGCATTTTCTTTGGCTCCTCAATCCTGACGTTCTAGTTATGTATATTTGACTGTAGCCACCTGAGATCTCAACGAAATCTAAAGCCAGAGAGACTAACATTTAGCAGAAATGTCTGCTAAATATATCTGCACAGTTCAGCAATGTACATATTTTGGATTCTGAAAAAACAATACTATTTTTTTGTAAACTGACTGTGTAGGGTGATTTTAAGTTGATAAAAGACAAATACATCTGTGTCTGGAAACGGATCAGCAGTTTTCATGTGATGCAAAATATGTAAAATAAACTTCAAATAAAACAAAATTATATAAATGATTAGTTTTATTTCGCACAGACATTCAAATGTTACGTGACACATTATTCATAATATTGCTGTTGCTTTTTAAGCTCATACAGTTAACAAGTTAGCTTAACACTGAACCAAACAACTTCATATAAATCTAATAGAATAAATTGTTTAACCAAGTACAAAAAATTGAATATCTTGATACGGCACCATAGTATATATTAATTAATTTATTAACATTGCCACGTCTGGAAATTGCACAATATGAATTTAATATAATATCTAATTTAGTATGAAAATAAATGCATAAGTAACAATAACTATTTATTTAAAATTAATACAAAATTGGAAGCCCAACCAACACTAAAATGGAGCTACGGGTATTTAATGCGCATTCTAGTTACAAATCAACGTTTGATATCCACAATCTAGTTTAGATACAAAAGACATTACAATACTAAAAAATCGAAAGGGTACTAGAACACCTCGTTTATCGTGTGTTATTAAAAATAGATTATATTTAGATTAGACGAAGATTTAGTGGGTTTCTGACATAACTTGCAACCCGAACTCTATGCGACAGACTCTTGAATACATGGAAGACAGATTAGTTCTAAAAAATTTGCGAAAATGACATAGATATCACAATGTTAAGGACTAGTATTTCAAATAATATAAATAAAAATCTCAATAGGTTTCGAGGTGTTCTACGTCTGTTACAGACTTATTACAACCGTAAATATGAAATCTCAAAGATTAGAACTAGTGACGATAAAATTCATTTAAAACGAAGCTCACCAAACACATAGTACACACATAGACGCCGATAAGTCCAAGTGTTTTATCTTATTACTGTAAAATTAAATTAAACATGTAAGTACAAGGAATGTCGAAGCAAACGCCGTTAAAATAACTATATTTAATTTGTAAAATAAATGCAGATTACCATTAAAAGATTGGACAAATACAACATAATATATAAATGATCAAAAGATTAAAACGTATTCAAAAGAAGTTCATAACAATACTTATACTATTCATAAGATAATATTAATGGAGTAACTATAACTATATCATGTATGTGTTTTACTTATAACAAATAACTAGAACAAATTCTTCGACGGTGATGTATCACTGAAATAATGATAGTATATGCAAGATTCTAATGTAAAGCATACAATAAACATATGATGTAAAATAAATTAATAAATATTTGTTACGTATCAACATCATACTATACTTCATTCGTTAGGTACGTATAGATAAATACCATTATTTGATTATTTTACATAAATACAATTATTTGATTCATTTCTGATATTCATTAATGAGATTATTATGCGCAATACGAATGTATATTAAAATCTTTGCTACACAATATACATTTTGACTAATAAGTCATCTAAATATGTCTTATGCGTAGAAAAATAACTCATACACTATTATAACAATAATTGAATATTATCCTTTCGACTACTTTAATTAATAATTACAATATGTTTGCATTAGTCTTTTAAGTAATTTCATATCTAAGTAACATTAGCAACTAATTAAACGCGAGCACTATAGTCGCCCGAAATAACATTGCAAAAATAGATTAATCTTCTTAGATAATAAAACCAAACCACTACATTTCTGTATTGTCAATATTCAAAGTCTTATTGTTGAAATTGTATACGGTTTATAAACACGCATGCTACATTAGACGTATATAATGATATTAGCTACTTTCGCCCGCTTCTCCGCTCCTATAATAGCATGTTTTGTCGCCTAAGCCATCCTTGATAAATGTTCTACCTAATACAAATAGAATTATTTAAATCGGACCAGTAATCCCAGAGATAAGCGCGTCCAAACAAACAGACAAACTCTTCAGTTTTATATAATCACAAGTATACATATGTAAACAAAGTGCGTGACACTTCATTTAGTTTGTATAGTTTGGATTTGCAGTGTAAGGTATTTTTGATCTGTGAAATAGCTAATCTGTGGAGTAAACTGTCATATTGAATGACTGTGAAAAATATGAAAAGTAAAATGGTTAATTGTTATGTACAAGTAAGAATTTTAATGTAATTAGAATAATTGATAAGAACTGGTGAAACAATAGCTCTAAATGTTGTTTTATAATAAGATATTATTTATTATATTGTCCTTGGATATGATGATGATGATGATGAACAGTAAAACTATAACCAAATTTTAGTTGCTCTGAAAAGAGTGTACAAAGCAACTAAAATTTGGTTATAGTTTTACTGTTCATCATCATCATCATCATATCCAAGGACAATATAATAAATAATATCTTATTATAAAACAACATTTAGAGCTATTGTTTCACCAGTTCTTATCAATTATTCTAATTACATTAAAATTCTTACTTGTACATAACAATTAACCATTTTACTTTTCATATTTTTCACAGTCATTCAATATGACAGTTTACTCCACAGATTAGCTATTTCACAGATCAAAAATACCTTACACTGCAAATCCAAACTATACAAACTAAATGAAGTGTCACGCACTTTGTTTACACATATATATTATAAGATATACGTATAATATAATTATATAACGATATAAATTTAAATATTATGAGATTGTGTGTAAAGTATTAAGAGTACAGAATATTTATAATACATAGGATACATAAACTTTACAATAATATAATTCGACAATAGTTTAAGTAAATGCGAGGATACCACTAATATGAAGGACTCAACATGGAAATCGAGTGATGAAGTATAACTAGGATCACAACTCATCCTTCACCTTGCCAGCGTAATTGCGACAGAACTCGTACATCTCGTCGAGAGTGCGACCGCCTTCATAGTCGGCAATAAGTTGTCCATTCGTGTACAGTTTAAACGTTGGTAGAGTCTGTATGCCAGCGAGGTCAGCGACCTTCTGGTTCTTAGATGCATCCACAGCATATACTTTAACAGGGATATCTTCAGCTTTTAGCTTGTCTGCTAGGAGATTAACCTGTGGTTTCGCATCCATGCAGTGTGAACACCCTGTAAACAATATTTCTAACGTTAATATCTCAAAGTTAACTTTTGTTCGTGAGTTTATACACATTATATTAAACAAGTTTATTAAATTACTTTAGGAACTCCATGTTATAATAATATGATGCACAATATCACACTTAAACGGCCTATCAATGGCGAATGCCATTCATAGCCATTCGTGTACTAACGCAATGCTGAGGTTATGGTAATATTACATAACTTAACATCACGCCTTTTAGCCCAGAAGGGGTAGGCAGAGTTGCACATTACGGCACTTATTGCCACTGTGCAGTGTAACACCCACTTATCACTATTTATGTTATGCGTCCCATGTAATAGGGGGTAAGCCTATTGCCATATACCGGGCACAACTCCGTGCTACTACTGAGACTTATTTAAAAAACCCAGCAATACTTTACCCGACCTGAGAATCGAACACGAAACCCCTTGCACTTGCGACCAATCGGCCAACGAGGCAGTCAGTTATAGTAATATTCTTTATTATAATTACCGTATGGAGTTTAAAGTACCCATTTAATGTATATTTACTTATTAGTCGTGTAGGAAACAGAATATATATAGTTGACAGAACATTAGAGGCTATAGTGTGTGCTGGGACTGTGAACATTAATTCACATCAAAACAAAACTTAGCTGGCCTTCGAACCATTGGGAAAAGTCTCACGTTCGAATAATAGAAATTATGCTAAAAGTAAACAACCGAGGTGCTGTGTCAGTCACCGTGGATGTTTATGTCGTATTATAATCTGTGTGACAAGTTGGTCAAAGTTCTTGGGTCAATAACATAGAGTTCACCACTATTTAGGACGTTCAATTAGTATTATTTTTATTATTATTTGTGTGCTCATCAATCAGCGTGAGGTCCTGACTGTCCAATCATTATTACCGACAATTTTTATGTTTTTTTCAAAAACTAACATACCTACACTTCGACACGGGTTGCCAGAAAACCAGTGCGAGTAAATAGGGCCTAAGTTTCCATTATTATACTAGTTATTCCCGGTCTGCTTGATTCCTATTTTTCGTAGCGTAATGTTTTATAGCTTATAAACCTTCGTTGACAAATTGATAACATAAAAATAATTTATTATGTTTTCGGCATACTCACGTAATAATTTGACGAGGAACCAATATGAGCCACTAGCATGGCTTGAAACTAGTCGAGTTCCTCGTCAAAGTATTACGTGAGTAAGCCGAAAACATAATAATTTATTTAATATGTCTCACGAAAGTTACAATATAAAAATAATTATTTCATTCGGACTATTCTGTAGTTTAGTGTGCTTAAACAAACAAATTCTACACCACCATATATGAGAATAGATATAGTATAAACAGTATAAACTTACAAGACGCGAAGAACATGATGAAGGAAGGTGTCGTTGATTTCATGACCTGCTCAAAGTCTACGTCGCTAGTCATCACTACATTTAGGCCGAAACCAGATTGCTGCGCCGTTAGTTCCTTTTGAGCGGTCGGGTGGAAGTCCGCTTGACTATGTATGAAGTTCACGAAGTCACCTTCCTGTAAACAAACAATAATGTTAATGGTAAAGAGATTAGCCACAGCAACCCATCCGTAGCCCTACCTTTTGTATTTTTATTTCCATCATCTACAATAGGGTTATAACCTTGAGTGCATTTCCATAATGCATCCAGGGATAGTCGCCGATTTGTGTGTCCATTACATTTAGATTAAAGTTCTCTAAAGGGCTTCTGCGCTTGCTTCAGCCCCTCGTACGCCTCCCAAATGACCGGGACCCTGTGGTCCCGTGAATGGTAAAGAGACTAGTAACATGACAATATAGTGCTAATTGTACTTTCTGTTCTCTCATTCTTCTAATATGAAACATCTGGCGAAGGCTAACAATCAAACCTGAGACATTATTTGCAGTAGTATAAAACGACTAGATCAGACCAACAAGGCAGTTGTATATTTATATGTATTTCGTACTAAATATGTTTGTCCTCAATGAACTCCTAAACCACTTAACCGATTATAATAAAATACACACACCATGTGCAGTTCGATCCAACTTGAGAGATAGGATAGTCTAATTTTCATTAGGGTACAGTAGAATAGGGTAGAGTAGGGTAGAGTCGGTTAGAGTAGGGTAAAGTAGGGTAAAGTAGGGTAGAGTCGGGTAGAGTAGGGTAGAGTAGGGTAGAGTCGGGTAGAGTAGGGTAGAGTCGGGTAGAGTCGGGTAGAGTAGGGTAGAGTAGGGTAGATTTGGGTAGAGTAGGGTAGAGTAGGGTAGAGAAGAGTAGAGTAGTGTAGATTAGGGTAGAGTATGGTAGAGTAGGGTAGAGTAGGGTAGATTAGGGTAGATTAGGGTAGAGTAGGGTAGAGAAAGGTAGAGTAGGGTAGAGTAGTGTAGATTAGGGTAGAGTAGGGTAGAGTGGGATAGAGTAGGTTAGAGTATTACGCGGTACGAAGTTCGCCGGGTCAGCTAGTATATTCAATTACCTTTCTACCACCTGTGTAATCCTTGACGGCTTTGTCGTAGAAATTAAAGTATTTGATCGTAGGGTAGCCTCTGACGTCATAGTTAGCACACAGTTCCTGGTCGGCAGTACAATCAACTGCTCCGAACGCTACCATTAGTTCATCAGCGAATTTCTCTGCGGCTTTCACAAACTCCGGCTTAGTACTTTTGCAGTGTCCACACCCTAAAAGTTAGGTATTAGAATTAATGTGGGTAAGAACAAGGTTTAGAATAAGTGGTGATACCACTCTGCCCTAAACTGGATTGTTGGCGCTCTGATTGGCTGCTCCAAATTAACCAAACAAGCAGAGGGCTAAACGGGCGCCACCGGTAATACAGAAATGCCCATAGACTGCAGAAGCGATAGTTTAAAGTTTAGTCTAAAAATGTTATTAACAAATATCACTAACTGAAATGGTTCACAACAATCAATTATTATGTGCCACGCTTACGGCAAACATCTGTTTGTATATCTGACTACAACTTACATGGTGCATAGAACATGACAATGGCGTGTTTGATCTTGCGCAGTGTGTTTCTGAACGTCGAGGAGTCGAGGTGGCGCACGGGCGACTCCTCTTCCGACCACGGCTTTTCCGGGGGTGGTGGTGGCGGTGGCTCTTGAGGGTCCTGATACCAAAAACAACAATATTTTTCATTATCTATAACAATCAACCAGCACTTTCAGTGTGTATTTTAAAATAAAGTACACTAAAACTTATTTTTCGGTTCAGTAAAATGTCAGTTCCAGTGTTCCAAAGTAATGATGACACAACGAAACTAGTGGCCGTCGTCAGAGCCCATTTTTCTCGCTATCACTCCGGACACTTATAACATAGCCACCGAGGGTTTGAAAAGATTATGCATGTCATGACTATTATGTATTATATTTTGCAGTTTTTGTAGTCCAACCTTTGCTAGCAGCTCGTAACAGTGGTCTGGGCCTGTAACCATGAGTTTCCACAAGAAGTCTGCACAAGAGGGTTTATCATTTCCTAGCTTGGCATGTGAGTTAGAGATAGCAGTTTTAAGGGTTCTGTTTTACCACAGCACGTTGCTGTACGGTCTCTCTCGCTATTGTACCTTTTTTTTAGATTTTTTTTAAACCGTTGCCCCACTCTAGGATTATCTCCGGTGTCGTGGGTGCGTTTACAGACATACAATTTCACATACACATGACACCCAGACCCAAAACAACAATTTGTGGATCACACAAAGTGTTGTTCCGTGCGGGAATCGAACCCGCGACACGTTGCACGGCAGCCGGTTGTCCAGCCACCGCACCAATCGTGCAGTCAACCTTAGGCTCCTATGACTTTTTTGGATTGTGCCAATACTTCTAGCTAGGGCATGGCTTAAAAAACTAAAATACTTTCGGTTTTTTCTGATTCTGTATGTATTTATATGATAAAAATGTAAACTTACCTTAATAAAACTAATAATTTGGTCTTCTTGCCTGGCATGGCTTGCATCAAACTTGTATTCTCCTTTGCTGAAGTACTTTAGAGTTGGGTATCCCTTCACACCAAAACGAGAAGCGAGGTCGGGTTGCTTTGTGGCGTCAACTGCCGCCAAAATACCGTCGATCTGTAAATAAATGTAACTCATATGGCGTTGAAACTTAGATAATAACGATTAGGCATCTATTTTCCTCTATGTACAGAGGTATTATGAAATTTTTCTATTACCGCCCCACGTCTTAAGAACCATACAAACGAAATTTAACTCCGTTTGTCAGTCCATCAGTTATTCAGTAACCGTCAATCCAAGTAAGTTATCTATACTGATTGCATATAACCAATTATAGGATACGGATATTTATGTAAGACTATGACCAACCTTTTCAGACTTGATCCTTTTGGCTGCTTTCTCAAACTCAGGCTTAATTCTCTTGCAATGTCCACACCAAGGAGCATAGAAGACTACGAGTGCATTTTTAACATTCGTAAGAGTTTCATCAAAATTGGCAACTGAAAACAAAATTCATTGTTAGATTCCACAGAATTTAGTGACATACTTTACAGACGGCTATTTTCGCCTACTATTTTTATCATCATCATCATTTGTACCCATATTATGTCCAAGCCTTCCAATAAACGTTTATAATCTCCAGCACGAGCTGTAAGTTTAGAGATTGCTGCTACCTAACTTTCACAACCCAATATAGTGTAAGGAATAGGTCGGCAAACGAGCAGCAACAGCAAGACATCCCTCCCTTGATGAGCAATCGGCACCGCTCGCAATATCAGAGAAGTTGTCTATTAGGGACTGGGGATTGTGGACGTGGATCGGGTCCCCGGTTATCTCATTCACACGGCCAAACACAACGCAAGCGATGTTTCGTGCCGGTTTTCTGTAAGAGCATGGTATCACTCCACTCTAGCTAGCCCATTCGCGTCGAAGAATGGCTTTCTCACATTTACCGTTTTAACTTTGAACCTTATAATGCTGTTGCAGCCATAGACCAAAAAATATTGTCTGTGTATAACCCTTAATTTGTCAATGAATCTACTCACTATTTGAAATGTTATTTTTCAGTATACATACTCTCTAAGGTGATAATGATATTATGTATTCAAACAGGTGCAGGAAAAGAAAACTACACGCACTGAAGGAAACCTCTACATTTTTTTTTAATTATAATGATAAAATTACACTTCAGTTACGAATACCTTTAATAATTTTTGTGAACAAATATTTCTGCAACATAATGCGAGGTTTAAACATCACCTCTACGCGTACGGTTTAAAAAATTATAAATAAATATCAAATGGTCATCTTCGCACACTCCAGTAAAAATCGTTGTGACATTCTGAATTCTGAAGTTAGAAAATATATTGACACTTCTGTGCCAGTCATTTTATTGTATAAATGAATACTCTTTATTATAAAAATGAGGTTTTACCGGTTAATTTAAGTGGTTTTGGGCGTCTTAATCCTTCGGACCACCAAGGCCACATTTTTATCAAATATAACAACTGGATGTCGAGTGGGGACAAAAAATCCGTCTACGAAAAGCTCGCTAGTAAAACGGCCAATATGATTCAGCAACCGTTTTCCTGCGACCGATTCGCTACTGGACTGTTCGTCGACAGAATGACTCATTTATTTCCGTTTCCCCAACAGGATCTTTCACCTATGGACATTTTGTCGATAGAACCTTTCATATACGGCACTTTCAACGGCAGCCCTTTTCACCTACTAAGTGTTTCACCGACACGGAGATAAATCTAACTATAGCTCTTTTAGCTACAGACTTTACCTCTACAACGGCAAATCGTCGTCAATCTTAAGACAAGCAATATTACTAAAATGCACATATCTGTATATAGCTTACTACAGTTGCAGGTTGTTGAAGATGATGATAATGAGGATGCAAGGCACTTACCAGTTAAATGCACAACATCAGAGTCTTCGGGCCAGCTCTCATCAACTACTTCTTTCTTCTTTTGTTGCATTGCAGATGTTGGATCCCTCATGAAATCAATGATAGCTTGTTTTTTGTTCTCGCCATTGTACGGCAGTTTGTATTGGCCTTTTCTGAAAACAAAATTGGTACATATAATCGTAATAATAAGGCTGAATGATAGAGAAAAGAACAGAATTTTAGACAGTCACCGCAGCCGTCAGCCTGGCTTTGAGACTTAAGCCAATGATACACTAAGGCACAAATGTACTGCGACACGTGTCGCCAGCGACGCCGGGTGAAGTAGCGTGACGTCGCCGGACTTTGGTCGACATGTCTGTTTGTCATCGTACATGTCAAGCGACATCGGCCGGCGTCCTTAGACATGTCGCCGATACATGATTGTTCTGAGACATTTCCCCTAGTGTATCCTTGAGTTTAGGATTGTTTAGTTTTAAAATAGATATTATAAATAGTAAATATAAGAAGTAATATTTGAACCAGATTTCTATTAATTGAACATACTTACTCATAATATAACAGCGTAGGGAAGCCAGTAATATTGTACAATTGCCTTATTTTTGAGTTTCCTGGTTTCGATACATCAATCGCAGCAAGTAATGATTCGCCCTATAATGGAAACATAGACAAAGATATTATTTGCTAGTTTATAATCCTTATGACGTGATATAATAAAAAATGAAGAAGAAAGAATTAAAGAAAAACTTTATTTCACACGCATACAGATTTTACACATAAGTTTAATGATATCTACTAATGTCCCAAGTCTGCGGTGAAATTAGAAGAACTGATATCTACTAATGTCCCAAGTCTGCGGTGAAATAGGACGAAAGTCCATAGGTTTAACTAAAGTAAGATTTTTTTTTGTATTTTTAAAAAACCAAATGTCTTGAACAAATTGTTTCAATTGTTCTTGAGTTACTCACTTAACATACTTTATGTATGCTACACGGAACCAATTTTCTAAGCATATTTAATCGACTAGCGACTTCAAAAACTCGACACTTACAATCCGTTGAGAATACTTTTTATAATTCGCAGGTCTCATCTCATCCTCATCATCATCATCACCTTGATTCTATGTTTTATATATCGTACTTGCTTCATCCTTTTACTTATTAACTTAGGTACCTAATTAAAAATATCACAAATAGTTCTTACCTGTAATATGGCAATAGGCTCACCTCCTAATACATGGGACTCATAACATAAATAGTGAAAAGTGGGTGATACATTGTACAGTGGCATTTAGTGCCGTAATGTGCACCTCTGCCTACCCCTTCGGGGATAAAAGGCGTGATGTTATGATGTTATGTAGTTCTTACCTTCAATTCAGCAGCAGCATTAACGTACTCCGGTTTCAGAGTCTTACAGTATCCACACCAGGGCGCGTAGAACATTATCATAGATTTCTTATAAGCACCAGCGCCTTTCTTCAAGAACTTGTTCAGAGCCTGAAATCAAAAATTACGTTTTTATCACACACGTGTAATTAAAAATCTTGGTAAGATTTCGCATCTCTAGACAGTATGGTAAATTGTAATAATTATTATCGTAAAGTGCAGTTAAAAAACCGACTTCAATCTCGAAGTCAGTTGACAATAAAATTGATTAAATTAACCCCTCGAGCGTCCTTATGAGCACCCGGTGGATCATAAGAAAAAATGCTCCATGCAGCTTTCTCTTTAATAAAATCTATTATTAACTCGTCGAATACCGGTTTTATAGACACAATTAAAGAACAATTGGTCGCGGTCACCGGTGACCGCTTGGTGTTTGACAGTTTAATGTTTTGTTTTTATTTTGACTGTATTTGTTTTATTTCTATTGTAATGATCCTTGGTTTCGTGTGGCAATGGGCAAATAAATGCATTTTATTGCATGCATAAGGAACGCGGACGCTCGACGGGTTAATAAGTGTAACAAACGCTTTTCAGAAAACCGCATCATAATCGGGTCAGCCAATCGCGAGTATCGCGACACATCGCAGACAAACAAACATACATCTGTTGAAGACGGTTAAAAAAACTCAGACGTGCTTATTTTTTCTAAAGTAACAGAGTAAAAACAATTACTACTAATCATGTATTAAAAAAATAATCTCTATTTTCTTTTCATCATAAGTTCACGCGTGAATGGTTCTTTCGCAATAGCAAAGATCAACAAAATGTGATTAGGGAAAGTGAAAAAAATGCGGAAATTAACTTTTTATTAATTGTAATGCACTGCTCGTTCGCAATAGGTTCGCAATTACGCTTATGCAAAGGAAAATGTTTCTTATGAGAATAAACTACAGAAAATACTTCAAACGTCTTCGTCTCATAACAATATAATTCGCTAATGTTTCAAATGTAAAAAATATCACTTCTAATATACCTTTTTTCTTTATTCTTGTTACTAAAAAGTTCTTCTGGGAATCGAACCCGCGACACGTTGCGCGGCAGTCAATTGCCCAACCACCGCGCCAACCGTCAATTGGTTTTCACTCACTGATGGAGTGATCACAAGTAAATATTCTCGGGCGCAATTCCCAAGCTAGGAGAGTAGTAGTTTGAGTTTTCGACATTCTCAGCAATACCAAAGTACATATTTTGCGTGGTGTTAAAGTATTTGGTTCGCCATTCGTTACAACATAACTGATTCACGCCTGAATACTGAAAGGCTAATAAATTTTAAGTTGTACTAAAATATCGTGCCATCTCTGTTATTATAAAATGAATTTGTCGTGGCAGAACTATAAGTACTTAAGCGCGTCTTACAATTGAGTAGCGGTTGAGTATTTGTTTATAAATCTGGTGTTATATGTACGTACGTAACTAGCTATGTGCACCCTCTATCTATCCCTGGAAATAAATATGTAATGAAAGTAAATAAAAGACTATGCAATACGAAAGAAAAATGACGTTTCGCATTGGCAAATAAATCACTGTACCTCTAATAATAATGCACAATCACATTGCAGAAATAAAACTCGCTGTAAGTTAAACATACAAAATTGTTATGTAAACACCTTGAAGTAAATACGAAAACTAAATAAACAAACAATGTCAATCATCGCATGATGACAAAAACATTTATTAACCTCTTATATGAGACACAATAGAACACATTGTGTCTCGCGTATATCTACGCTCCCGGCATACCAGGGGTTAAAACCTTTTGTATTTTCGTTCAGTATTATTTATTTTAGATTTTTCAAATTTTCAGCCGTATCTTGGAGCTACCATTCATTTTAATTAGGACTAAGAACATTGGCTGAGAGTGGACACACCGCATACCCCTTTTTTGGGTCTAGACCAGAATATTTACAAACACTATGATTCACACACACATCAGAAATGGTTTTAAATATAACATTCGCTTTTTGGTCATCACAATTAGCACTTAGCATTATAAAATAACTATAGTAATTATGGTATTAGCCTTGTATATAACTAGAGCACATGGATATATTACTGTAGCTCATAACTTTAGTAAAATACAATATTTATACATACAATACAATATTTTAATAAAATGTTTTCAGATTCAACTGATTTGTTCACTTTAATGTGTTATGATTAAGATTATTAGCGTTAAATAAGATTTTGCATAAACATAGTTTGTTTTTCAAACAAATTTAGAAATGCTCATTTTAAATGGTCACACTTATCAAGTAGTTAATTCTGATAAGTAAATGTTAGCACAATTCAACTTTACCGTTGCAGTATGAAATGTTAATTGTATGAATTTAATAAAGTACCTAAATTTTAACAAATTTGTAGAACCATTTTCATCACAAACACGGAAGTAGGTATAAATTAGACAATGTAGGTAGGTACAAACCTCTCCATCTTGAAGATGAAATATGTCAGTGGCAGTAGGGTCCTCATCCCATGGCAGATCTCCAGTGGGATCCCTCAAGAAGTTTGACAGCGAGTAACTTGACTCGTTTCTGTCATAATCTTTATGGTATTCACCATCTTTATAATGCTTCATGTAGTATGGTTTATCTGTAGCCACTTTCAGTTTCTTGCAAAGCTTCCTACCTTCGCTGTAAAACAATAAAAAAAAACATTTATTTCAGTTAGGTTCATACAAATGTAGGAAATGACTGCACGGTTGGTGCGGTGGCTGGGTAACCGGCTGTCGTGCAACGTGCCGCGGATTCGATTCCCGCACGGAACAACACTTAGTGTGATCCACAAATTGTTGATTCGGGTCTGGGTGTCATGTGTATGTGAACTTGTATGTTTGTAAACGCACCCACGACACAGGAGATAATCCTAGTATGGGGCAATGTTTTATTTTAAAAAAAATATAGTGGTTTTATAAACAATGGTAAAAATTATACTGCAATGTCTATTAATGCCTAAGCGCTCGGTGGGCCCTGATGGGATTCCACCCTTCATCTTGAGGGATTGCCGCATAGTATTAACTGGACCTTTACAACACATATTTAATATTTGCTTATCGGCAGCACACTTTCCGACTCGCTGGAAACTGACTCGGGTGGTACCTATACCAAAAGGGCGGGGTGGCACGGATGTCAGTGATTTCAGACCAATTGCGGTGCTGTGTGCACCAGCCAAAGTATTTGAGATGGCTGTTCACAATAGCCTTTATGCGCAGGTTGGGGCTCATTTGTCTGACGCTCAGCACGGCTTCCGTCCTGGATGCAGTACAACGGGAAACTTGTTGCACCTGATGACGCTGTTGGTACCAGCTGTTGACGCTGGGCTTCAGGTTGACGTAGCGTACCTTGACTTCAAAAAGGCGTTCGACACAGTCGACCACGACATACTCTTGTCGAAGCTGGCTGGTATGGGTTGCACATACCATACTGTAAAGTTCTTCGCCAGTTATCTTCGGGATAGGCGTCAGTATGTGGACTGTGGCGGACACTTTTCGGAGCCCTACTACACCAGATCGGGCGTCAGTCAGGGTAGTAATTTAGGACCCTTATTATTTATTATCATGGTAAATGATTTACCAACGGTGGTCAAATCAAGGTGTCTTCTATTTGCTGATGACCTTAAGTTGTCAGCAGTAGTTAAAGACACAGCTGATCGTGACATGCTGCAGCACGACTTGGACAAAGTCACTGAATGGAGTCACTGCAATAAACTATATTTCAATATTTCAAAGTGCTCGGTGCTTTCATTTGCCCGCACACTAAACCAACAACACCATCAGTACAGCATGAACGGGGAGCTGCTGCAGCGTGTCACGGAGGTAAAGGATTTAGGCATCCATTTCTCCAGCGACTTAAGGTTTCGTAAACATGTGGTATATGTTTGTAAGAAGGCGTACAGGAATCTGGGATTTGTGCTGCGTCAGGCAAGTGATTTCACGAATATCAGCGCATTAAGGGCTTTGTACGAGGCTCTTGTGAGGAGTCATCTGGAATACAATGCGACCATCTGGAGTCCGAGCGAAATAAAATATAAAACAATGCTCGAGCGGATACAAAATAAATACATCAGATTTATGTATTTAAAAATATATGGGATATATCCGGGATACCCGTTACTGTATCCCACCTTATTCTGTCTCGGTATGGTGGGGTACTACAAATTGGAAGTCAGGCGTGAAGTAGCATCGGCAACTTATCTTCTGAAGGTTTTAAGAGGTAACATACAAAACTCTGGTATGCTTTCGGAGATAGGTTTTTGTATGCCGGACGACTATGTGGCGCGGCGGCGCCGGCCGCGGCTGCTGGTGGTGCCGCGGGCGCGCACCAACCTGCTGGAGCGCGCGCCGCTCACTCGTGCCTTGCGCACTCTTAACACGGTGGCTGATGTCGTAGACATATTTAACTGTACACTGAGCGAGTTCACAAGGACCACTTATTCTATAGTGTGTAAGGAAATATAGTTTATAGTTAAATATAGTTAATAGTTTAGGAAACGTATTTTAAGTTACTATGTCGAATTAGGTTAAGTTATCTGTAATGGCAAAGTAATTGTATTAAATAAATAAATTAAGGTTGCCATTTGTCCAATTATCAAACAGACCCTTTTTTGGTCCTATCAATATACTTATTAGAAAGTAATGATTTGTTAATTTCATTTTATTCTTTCGTAATGAGACTTCTTACCAGAAGAGAAGGAAATAAAATATAGAAGTTTATCAACTTACCTACTAGTACAGTCTATTAGAGCTAGAGTAGCTTGTCCCTTCATAGCATCAGCAGTGTCTTTGAACACATCTACTATGGTGTGTGAATTCTTCGGCTCATTTACATATAATATCAAAACATTAGTCTTAGTTCTTAATAGTTTCTTAAAATCTTTTATATCACCTATATCTGTAATAACTGCTGTTCTTTGCTTCTTAGCTTGCTCAGACTTTTGAACAAATAGTACAAATAGCAGTAACAATACCTGAAACAATTATTATTTTATTATAATGTGTACCTATACTTAGATAGGGTTTATTTATTTATTAACAATTTATTATACACCACAAAAGCATAAAGAAAAATTATCAAAATAAAATGTGTACAATAGGCGGTCTTATCGCAGAATGCGATTTCTTACGGACAACTTTTGGAAGGAGCCAGTAATCAGGAGTTGGGGAAAAAGGGGTCATCCAGTGTACAATAATTATCAAACCTAATACATACATAATTGCCCAACAAACAAAATGGTTACAAAAAAAACATATATTTGTTTTATAACCGTTGCTATTGAATAGACGATTTTAGACAACTAAGATGTGTAACTGTTATTCTTACACAGGTTCAGTCTTACTTACTGAAAGGTCAGAACATCGCAAGGTGTTTACTTTAGCCCTACTATGTAAGCAAGTCTTTTGGTGGTGAATGCAAATTATTGTAGGACGAAGCATTATTTAGTAAGAATTATAAAACTTTAAGCACACATAAAAATTACATAATGATAAAAGCTCAAAGAGCTGTTTTTAAACTAACATCCATTTTGTTAGCTTAACCATTTTTTTTTAAATTTACAAAAGTACCTACATTCAATAAAATTAATGTAGTTGGTACTTGATAATATGATCAGACTTACAGCTAAGAATAGTACCAAAATATATTGGTAAATGTTTGAGATTACATAATAATATAATATTATAAGAGATATTCTAAATCTAACTTTACATTGCATTGTCTAATACAATAATAATAAAATGTGGGTAGTTAATAAGTTTCAACAATTTCAAGTTCTGATACAAGATTTAACTCGTTGAGTACCGTCATTATAGACACAATTAAAGAACAATAGGTTGTGGTCACCGGTGACTGCTTGGTGTTTGACAGTTTAAACAGTTTAAGTTAACTTCACACTCCTTAAGCATTTAATATCCTTAGGGAATTTACGACGTGAATTCTGAAAAAGTACTCTTCATAGTAAGGAATATAATCTTAATGAAATATGGGAGACATCTACTTATCCTAAATTACACTCAATAATGTATGAATAAACAAGGTTTTAACTAAAAATACATGTTAAAACAGGATACACTCAATTTATCATTTGCCGCATGGCGTTGTTAGCAACTGATAAAGTTGCCGGCACTTTCCAACGCCTCCGCATTTAAAAAGTTACGTTCATAACCTGTTTTTACTTCAGGGACTAATTTTAGAATGCACCTATCATTATCAAACTGTAAAGTTATCTGATACTAAAGAAGTTGTGCCACAATTATCAAAGAAAGATAAAAATCACTACAGTACAGTTACAATTTCAGAAACATGTACGATAAAAGTATTGCAAATAAATTATAAAAACTACTCACCCTCCAAACTATTTTTCGATCCATGACCGTCGATGGTAGCACCTTTGATAAATAATTATTGCTTTTATATATAAAAAAATGATATATGTGTTTTTTTTACTTTATCCTAACGTTACTTTCATTTACTTTTGGATGACAAGCAAGCTTGATACACCATCAGCAGTTTTAAAATGACAACCAATGACATAATGACGACTGGCTGACTAGTAATGACAGATTTGACAAACAGCAGTGTTGTGATAGGTATCATTTTTTTTTTGTATAAAACTAATTTTATTTTTCACGCGATAAAAATAAATTACTCACTGCAACATATATTTCGATCAATCAATGCAAGTGCCGCAGATAATACCCTTCGAATTTCGGAATTCATGGTAAACCCACACACACTAGATTGATAGATTTTATGCACCGCCTGCACCGAGCAGATAAATCATGACGAAGACGATAGATGATTAACGGTCACTGATATGATAAGACTATTAACGGTCGTAATGCCTTTTTTCCCATCCATCCAAGAGACGATTTTACGGTACTGTTGTCCTAAAGACTTGATGCCAAGTCTTACTTAAGGCGGTACTTTAAAACAATACTCAATGTCACAGAGGTCATAGCAGCTGGTTTGTTTTCATTGTAGCAAAGATGACCGTATAAGAATGAACAATTGTGATTGGTTACATTGCAATCGGTTCTGTTTCCCATTGGTTTAATAATAACTTCCACCGATTACGAACTATCACTTATTTTTAATGTAAATGAGAATAGAAATCATTTTCGATTACAGCACTTCGTTCCGGTTTCCCGCTAGCGGTGAAGATATAATTCCTATTTATTCATGTAAGTGCACAAAATAAATGATTTTTAAGTTTACCGGTGATTCCTTTGCTAGCACATTCCTCATTGAATACCTTCCATAATCGTAAATAGTACCTGGCTTACTACAAAACCAATTTACAGATAGTTTTCAATTGCGTTATCATATTATTCAAAAGCTTTTATTTAAAAAATGCAGGTTCTGATATTTAATTATTAATTTATAAAGCGTATAAGTAAGTATCTTTAAAATAAGGCGCTACCTATAATTTTTCCATATCAGTTATCATTTAGTGAATTTTAAGAAGTAGGTAACATACATTTACCTTTAGAAGATCTGTTTTAATTATCTGGAAGTTTATAAATTGATACAGAGGATATTGTCGACATCATAGGTTAAGACGGTCAACCAGGTCATGACTCAATGTCGCAATAAAGAAAATATTCATTTTTATCTTTATGTATATTTAAACCAACTGATTGTATCCACCCACTGACTGATTACAGGTAATGCTATCTAAGTTTACTATCATAATATTATAATCTTGTAATAGTTTTTAAACTTTACACCATTTAAAATAACTTCCTAATGGAATAAATACCTAATAAATGTAAATTTGTTTTAGATATAAAACTCCAACAAAATGGGCCGTAAATTCGTAGTTGGTGGCAACTGGAAGATGAACGGTGACAAGAAACAAGTCACAGAGATTGTTGAGACACTTAAAAAGGGCCCTTTGGATTCCAATGTGGAGGTAAAGTAGGATTCCTTTAAACTTCGTTACTTTTTGTTATTAACTCGTAGAGTACCGTATTTATAGCCACAATTAAAGAACAATAGGTTGCGGTCACCGGTGACCGCTTGTTGTTTGACAGTCTAATACATTCAGCATTCCATATTTAAATATTTTTCAACATTTAATTGCAGGTTGTAGTGGGTGTCCCCGCAATTTACCTGGAGTATGTCCAAAGCATTGTTCCCAACACTATCAATGTTGCCGCACAAAACTGCTGGAAGTCACCAAAGGGTGCTTTCACTGGTAAGAAACTAAAGTTATATACAAATATTCCTTGTATTTGTGTAAGCACATATTATTATTAAAATCATTTTTGATATTCCAGGTGAAATCTCTCCTGCTATGATTAAGGACATTGGAGCCAACTGGGTCATCCTTGGCCACTCTGAACGTAGAACCATCTTCGGTGAGAAAGATGATCTTGTTGCAGAAAAAGTAAGTACTAACTATAAAAGCATTCTTTAATGTTCATAAGAAAATAAGTAATTTATCTAAACAGATATGTACTAAATGAGAGTGAAACTTTTAGGTTGCCCATGCTCTTGAGTCTGGACTGAAGGTTATTGCTTGCATCGGAGAGACACTTGAGGAAAGGGAAGCTGGAAAGACTGAAGAAGTTGTATTCAGGCAGACTAAAGCCCTGTTGCCAGCTATTGGAAGCAACTGGGACAAGGTTGTACTGGCTTATGAGCCCGTCTGGGCTATAGGCACTGGAAAGACTGCCACCCCACAACAGGTAATAAAATTTATTTGTTACACATATATTTATTGGTTTGTTTCCATATTAACAATCAGTGTTGATTAAAAGTTTATACTTATTACATAATTTTGAGCTTATCTAGTAAAACATAATGTTCATGAATTAAATCAAAATTGGTCTCGGTAATAAGTATGAAATCTAAAACCTATATGCATTGACTGGACTACATGATCAATATTGTATGAGGTATAATTAACAGTCTTAAATCTTTTTGCAGGCTCAAGATGTGCATGCTTCTCTACGTAACTGGTTGTCAGCGAATGCTTCTGCTGATGTTGCTAACTCTGTACGTATTCAGTATGGTGGGTCAGTGACTGCTGCCAATGCTAAGGAGCTGGCTGCCTGCCCTGACATTGATGGCTTCCTCGTCGGCGGAGCCAGTCTCAAGCCAGAGTTTGTTGACATTGTCAACGCCACCCAGTAAAACACCAGTCTGCTAGCGCATTCATATATTTACGTTTTATAATAATTTTGTTGTAAGGTTAATTTATAAATTTAGAAACAAATCATGGAAACAAAAATATGAAATTGTACCTATTCCTTATTAAGAATAACTATATTTTTTGCTTTGGCGAATGTTATTATTGAGATTGATTAGAAAAGTTACTGAGTAACAATGTAATTATGTTGTACTGATTTATAAGTTATCAATCACTGTCAAATTGCTTTTATTTCATGTTATACAATTTTTTTTCCTAAAAAACAAATATATTATCACACATAATGTTTTTGTGTTTGAGTTTAGACCCATTACTAAATTTATGTTCATAACAAAGTATTGAGGACATGACTGACTATTTTCAAAAGAAAATTCATATAAAACAAGAAATAACGATAGGAGTATATTATATCTCTTTATTGAACAGCTGGCAATTTGTGAATGAGTTTACATAATGTTTATGCACCATGCATATAACAAGCACTATAAAACAGGTTAAACAGGTAGATACTCCTCATCTTTCTTTGCTTTGCATTATATTGAACTGTAAGTTGTAAATATTTGAGTACATGTGCACATTGAGCGATGGTACCTTTACACTTAACAATTTTTACATACAATTACATTCACAAATACAAACAATAAAAATCGTTATCCAGGCCATTTATGAAAATAACATCAACTTACGTCTTTCGAAAGCTAATATCCAACTTTATGAATTAGTCAATGCATAACTAAATCAAATTGCCTCGTTCCCTTACATATTCTAAGTAAGTACCTAAACTTAAATATAACTAATATTATTACGCTGTATTGCCATAAAGTAAAAAGATTGTATAATTAAGAAAAGCAGATGAGGGTAGGAATGTTTGAAGCTTATTTTTTTTAAACACTTGAACACAATGGTATAAATAGGTTAACTGCCTCAAGGCCTGCTCAACTAGTATATGTTTAGGATAGGACACCAGAAGTAAACTACGTACTATATAGTAGGTAGGTACCTATTTGTAACTTTGCAGTCAAGTTTGTTTGCCAACTTGCACATTAGGTATACATATAACGATAAGCTTGGTTATTAATATTATGAACCTTGTGGTCACTTCATAACGGTCAAATTACCCGTGTGAATGATATTGGCCAAAAACTTCTCACTAAAAGTTATCTGAGGCTTTTTAATACTTGAAAATTACCTATACCTACATAGTTTTGTGCTTGTATTGTTTTTATTGCATAAGCCGGTAAACGAGCAGACGGATCACCTGATGGTAAGCAATCGGCGCCCATGGACACCTGGAACACTAGAGGCGTTACAAGTGCTTTACCCGCCTTTTGGGGATTAGGAGTTTGAAGAACGTTGGGGATTCAGGGATTGGGGAGATTGGGAAGGGGAGGGTAATTGGGCCTCCGGTAAACTCACTCACACTACGAAACACAAAGCAAGCGTTGCTTCACGTTGGTTTTCTGTGAGACCGTGGCATCACTCCGGTCGAGCCGGCCCACTCGTGCCGAAGCATGGCTCTCCCTCACTTATAATATTTTTCTAATGCTTCTTTATAATGAAGTTAAAATACTATAACACCATCACGCCTATTGATATACTTATTTGACTACATTAAGATGGACAGTAAACGAAACAATTCCCCATAGAATAGTTTGTAGATTTTCTATAGCTTAGATATGAGATTCTTTCTTCCACAAAACGTTTATTACTAAGGTCCTTCACCTTACAATGGAGAGTTTAACTTCATAGTTCTTCAACTTTGCTAACAACCTTGCCCAAGAAAGGCAGGTGTTTCACAATAGGTTCTCCAAAACTGAAGACAGTTTTGATGGGTTCACACCAGGATGCAATGAATGACAAAATAAAGAGCCAGAACATAATCTTGACAAACCAGTCCAGTACGTAGAGGCTGAAACAAACAAAAAAATTTTAGTGATCTGAATTACATAAAGTATGAACATTTCGGATATTTTCATGTCGGATCTTCTAATAAGATCCATCAGTAACATTGTCGTTTCATCACACTTTCTCAGTTGTCGGATTACTGAATTGAACATATATCTTTATCATGAAAGTTATAAACTGTGCAGGACTGTGAAGCCATACAAAAGGATGTGGACGCTGTCTACGAATGGAGTGTAGCAAATAAAATGAATTTCAATGTATCCAAATGTTGTGTGATGACTTTTGGTCGAATGCGGCATCCAATCTACTACCAGTATAGACTGAATGGTACAGTTTTGTCCAGATCAACGACAACGACGAAAGATTTGGGAGTCACTTTTGACCAGAAGCTTACATTTCATGACCACATTGTCGTCGTCGCCAAGGAATCTTTCAAGAGACTTGGTTTCGTTCTTAGAAACTCAAAAGATTTCCGTAAAGACCATGTCATTCGGCTATTATACAATACGCTTGTTCGGAGCAAGCTCGAAGCCAGCTCTAGCGTGTGGAATCCTCATGAGGCCACTTATGCTCTTTTGTTAGAAAAGGTACAAAAAGCGTTCCTACGATTTTTGTATAAACGTCTGTTTGGTTACTACCCGTATCTGTATCCAACCAAATTCCTGACTGGATGTCTTGGATACAACACTCTGGAGACCAGGCGGGAGTTTGACCAGGTAGGCATAATGCTTAAAGTGTGTCGTGGATTAACTGATGCTCCAGATCTTCACAATGAGTTGATACGACTATACGTGCCTGATAACTATCTTCGCAATAGGAACCATCGGCTCTTAGCAGTACCTACTTCCCGCACTAATGCACGTGCGAAATCTCCAATTCCACGTGTTCTTGCTGCGTTTAACAACCTCATGAAGGTCTACCCGGATTGTGACTTGTTTAATGATAAGTTTAAGGCTGTAATGTCTGTTTGCCTGGTGTATTGTGAGCAGAACCACACATAACAATGTTATTTTATATCGGTTTTGATTTTTTCTCCAGATTCTGTGTACATATATTGTTATTATTACTGTTTCATTTTAATTCTAAGTTGTATTGTATGTTGTTTCGTGTATTTTTTTTTTGTGTCCAACTTTATCTGTTTTGTAATTTTACTATATTTTCTCATTTACTTTCAACACCTTTTTTATGCTATGTACTTTGATTTAGTTTTCTTTTTTTTATATTTTTTGTAATTATTATGTTTGATTAATGTAATTGGTGTCTACCGTGTTAATCAATAAACAAATAAATAAATAAATAAATAAATGACAAATTCAAATTATTGTCGGAACCAAACAAATTTCTGACAGCCCGTGAAAATCTATTGGTGGACTAGTGACCTTCTCTAGGTACTTAAATAGAGTATTTGTAGTCCCTAATGCATACCCATGTTGTATACATAATAATATTATATGCTATGCATCCCTTATCGGTAAATAACATTAACCTTTACATCGGCATCTAATTCTGTCAAGGCAACATTATCAGAGCTGCGACGATCTAGAGCAGTCAACATTATATCTGATAGCCACATAAACAACGTGTCTATCATTTATTGACTATTATTATACATACAGTACCTACCTATGTAAATTATTAATGGTTTAATTTATTCCTAATGATGATTTAGAAAGTCTCTTTTGTAGGTACAGTTGATGATAAGAGGGCAGTACTTACAAACGATGATAAATCCTGTTGTAGGGGATTTTGTTCGGGTCTTCCTTAAAGCAGTAGACACGACCTCCTTCCACACACATCTTCATATACTCGTGGCGATCCGCATCGGTAATGTCAGTGTTGTAGATCTCCTGTTCTTCTGGACTTAGTTTTTCTCTGATTGCATCGTAGTTAGGGCACGGGAAGTTCCACGGGCGCATTGTGAAGTATTGCAACACTTCCAAACCTTGGGATATTCTTTCTTGGATTCGTACCATTCTGTAGAAAAAAATTACAAGGTCAACCTTGACCTACCCGGTTTTTTCAATGAAAAATGTATTGCTAATGGAAATAACAAATACTGGGTACATGTACTGACGCATATATTACATGCATTGTGATGTAACATCGCCTATGGCATTGTCGTTGCTGAGGCCTATCTAGCTACACAATACTTCGGCATGTGTAATACCCATACTTCATATTTTTTTGCAGTTGGTGGGGACATTTAAGTCATCTTAGGTCTTTTTTTGAGGGGAAAAATCATACACTGTCTTCTCCCGCCCGAGTGAGGCGAGAGGGAGTGTCAGACTCTGGATTGTACTACAGTTTGAACAACAGAAAACCTGGACGTTAAATCAAAATTAATTTCCTTTAAAATTAATCCGAATTCTTAAGAAGATCTCGCTTTACTAATAGTTTACTCACATTCTTTTCTGTCCAAGTAAGAACAAAAGAAAATCGATCAAGTAGGCAGGCACTAGATGGTAGAAGATTCTTCGGTACTCATGCAGCACAGCGTTTGTGGTGATGTCTCCATTAGGATACCAGAGCGGCCAGGACAGGGGGTACTTACGACCATAGTCCTTAGCTATTGTGAGCACGTCACCCCATGTAGTAGGTTTCTGATGACCATTGTTCACATTGTATACAGGCAATGATGTATGTCTGAAAAAATGGTTTACTTAATGTAAAAACGTGATTTCAATATTCAGGCAATGTATGTAAATCTAATTTTCGTCTTTAATGGTAAAAATGCGCCGTTCTTTTGTAATTTAACTTCTAAGAAATACTAGCACAAATAAAACAATAACTGATTAAAGGCAAAGGCCATGCTGTTAGTGGGACATTTTCGATTAACCGTCAACCTCAACAATAATGTGCCCCAGGTATCGAACCCGAGATCCCTTGCTGTGCAGTCACACTTACACTGGAAAACTTAGTCATAGGTGCTTACTTTTCTTTCCTATTTCCTTCAATCATTCCTATAGCTATGATACCGTTGATTGCGATATCTACTGGGCAAACTTGGGCGGTAAGAGAACCGTCGCAGAGCATTGTTCTGATAACTCCCTTTCCAGCGCCTAGCATCACGCCGACTGGCCCATTCAGGTTGTCCACCCAGCCTGGCACAGGCTCCTTGAGCGATGGACATACTGAAACATACGAGAAAATATTTTTTTACTAACACACTGTTTTCAATGATAAAGGAAAGGGTAACTTTTTAACCAAGGAGAGAGATGCTTTGTTAACCTATTGATATAGAGAAAATGTACGACAAGGGCTCAGACGTGGCGAATAAGCAATTGTTAATATTAAAAAAAACCTATTGATACAATGAAACACTCACTGCACCAATTTAGTAGTAAGTCATGAGATCCGTGAGAACAGAGAGGGTGGGTATCAGGGGCATAATAGAAGGTAGTGTGTTTGTTGATGACAAGAAGGGCAAGAGGCTAGGTACCTAGGTTTAATAAATTTTCTTCTTTCTCCTGCCTTCTACCGCTTTAGGATAGACTCAGTGTTTTAATGAGACTCCTACTAACTACTTTACAGTACATGCAAGCAAAAGCAAATGCAGTAGATGTCCATCACTTGAATGACATTCTAGTTACAGTTAGAGCCAAAACTCACATGATAAAAAGTACTTTATTTTATAAAACGTTACCCCACATAGGATTTTCTGTGTCGTGGGTGCGTTTACTAACATACAAGTTCACATACACATAACACCCAGACCAGAAACAACAATTTTTGGATCACACAAAGAGTTGTTCCGTGCAGGAATCGAACCCGCGACACGTTGCGCGGCAGCCAATTGCCCAGCCGCCGCACCAACCGTGTAATTGAACTAACTTAAACGATGATAATTGCCTAAAAGCAACCTATTCGTTGGACATGGACCTTATCAATATATCTTTATGACCTTTGTGATCGTAACAATAAAAAGCAATATTTACCTATACTTGGCCGTGCAATGACAACTGGCAACTCGTCGTGTGCTTGTTCGACAATAGTTTCTGCGAGTCGCTTGGAAAACGTGTAACAGTTAGGATGCGGACCAAGCAGTGAGGGAGTCAACAAAGCCAGCTGTTTGTCATCCAGCCATTGAATCAGTTTCATCACGTTCTCAGGTTTGACAGGTGGACCGAAGCACTGAAATAAAAAGAAAACTTTAGTTAGTTAGCCAGTCTAAAGGCACACAGTCAAAACATATTAGTTTTTTTAAGTACGGTTTTTAGGGTAGGCCCCTTGTTGGCCCTTGAATTGTTTGATCCACTAAAGTTGCAAAGTGGAACGCTCGTGCATTCCTAGTCCATTAGTTAAATAGTGTAATAAGGTACAATATGATAAATATATAAGACGGGAACGGGAGAAAACAGGATCACGCGTACGAAGTCGCGGGCAGAAACTAGTAAGATATAAAATATTTTCACAACAACAATCAATGATTTATTATTATTAATACTTACATTCTCCCCCAATACTTCGTAGTCAGGATAACAGAAAGCCGTGGAAAGGTGAACGAAGACGTCCAGTTTCTTGAACTTCTTAGCAATGTCCAATGCTCTTTGAGTGCCACAAGTATTCATATTGACATTGTCTTTTAAGGGAGCCTCCAATCTTAGGGTCGCGGCAAAATGGAACACCACTGATACTTCATTACACAACAATTCTATATCAGAATCTGATAGTCCCAAGTTCTCGAATAAAACATCACCCTGTAGTGGCTTCATCTTCTTCAAGGCGTCCGGTTTTTCAGTCCGTATTCGTTCGAAAAGCTGGAAACAATTGATTTTATTTTAAAACATAGTTTTCTTTCAGTAATTAATATTAGTTCAGGTCCTTAAAGCTTTAAACCAGTAATTCAATACAAGTGACAGTAGATCAATAAGGCAAGGGAAAACTTAAGAACATATTATATCGAGAGGATATTATTACCCAAAGAACTTGATAAGTAAAAGATATAGCCTAGTTGAAGAAGGTATATTTCTATTCTTCAGAATTACTATTAAACTGTCAAACACCAAGCGGTCACCGGTGACCGCGACCTATTGTTCTTTAATTGTGTGTACGTAACAAGTCTGATTTCAACGCATGCAAGTAATAAAACGACTACGAAGAATATAATAAACAGAAAAACAGGTGACGTTACCCTCAATCGCTGCATATCTTCAATCCTTTGAGCCACAGACTTTCCTCTCTTGGGTCTCATAAGTATGTAGATGTTACCCAGGTCAGGGATGGAGTACAGCATTTTTTCAATGAGCACTTTGCCCATGAACCCAGTACCGCCCGTTACCAGGATGTTTCGACCTTTGTAGAAGTCCCGAATTGAAGGGTTCGACATTTCTGAAAAAAAAGAATAACAGCTTATTTTCGGTCTTCTTTCTGACTTTATCAGAAGATACTTACAATCCCCTAATCGTAGTAGGTATATAATCTTTCCTTTCGTTGTGGTCGTTCTTTACCTTATCATACATTTGGATTACTTATATTTTATGAAAACTTATAGCTCAAGTAAAATAAGTAATTTATAGTACCAAGTTCTACTAAGGTACTTACTTAGTGTTTGAAAAAATACCCAAATAGATTAAAATAGAGTATGAGACAAGTAATGTAGAATGTACATAGTAAATGTCTAAACTTCTTTCTAATTCCTAAAATGACACTCGGGAAATTGTAAATGCAGAAGTATTAAAATTAAAACACAGGTATCTCCTTCATAAAGTAAGGATGATACTCCCGAATATTGAAAGGCTAAGGAAATAATATGAAACTTAAAGTTGAGTTACTTTGAAAATCGAAACTCGATTGAAATTCCTTCATAAATAGGTTTAGGTTGTAGTTTCTAGTTTAAATGTATTAAGTCAGTAAGTCTTGATAATATACCCCTTATTTTGAGGGGGACAATCGTCGAATGATTTCTCTTACCCTTGATCAGGCGAGATATGTCAGGCATTTGATGGCGTTTCGGACAGTGACGACAGACACTAATTGAGGAATAGCCTTTAACAGTTTTTGTCGGCAGTTGAAGCTACAGTAAAAACCATTACGATCTAACTCTTGTTTCTTGTTGGAGTCACAGTAACTTCTTGAATTTTCCGCAGTCATAACAAGAGCCCCTAGATTGAAAGAAGAGTTAAACTTATAACAATACAAAATTTCTGTAGGTGGCCTTGATACTAGTACCTAGGTACTGGCGTTATACCTAAGAACATTTCTATCCATCTGTACATTATAATATTTAAAAAGAACCGTTAAGAGAGCAAGAACAATTTTATCGCATAGTTTTCGTAACTTGTGCCCACACAGTTAAGTAATATAATAGTTAAGTACGAAGGTTATGAGTTTGGGGACAATTTTTGTATAGTAGCATATAACATAATAGGTACATGTAGCTATGTTGCCACTGTACTTACATAAATATTGAAGAATACGCATAAATTATTGATCAAAATGTATCGTAAAGTTTAGATTAGTATTATATTGTACATAGAGGTTTGTATATAAGTATATGTACGTGCATTCACACAATATATTATTATGTAATTGTGTGTACGTTTTGAATAAGACACTCCATGGTAATTTGTGAAGAAAATCTTCTAATACTGTTTGTTTATGCAAAAAATGTTACATACGATGTTTAAATGTGAGAATGAATGGCATTTGTTTTAATGATTATGATATTTACAATACTTTACTTGTTGGAAAACCTTGGAATTTCTGTTGAGTACGACACTATTAACTAGTTAACAAACGCTGTTAAGGTTAAGTACTTATAGGTTTTTAATTCTTTCCGTCAGTTCAGTCTCATTTAGCTAACATTCTAAAAGATTAATTATCGAGCAGTTTCCATTAAAAAGGGTCTTCCTGTTCCACTAGAATAGTTTAGAATACTCACATTTTATGGGCAAATTACCTACTATGGGTACCACCCTGGAAAGTATTTCAACTAATCTGCTGGTTCTTCTTCTTATTTAGGATTGTAGGTATTATTAGGCAAGGTAGGTACAAAGTGAGATAGAAAAAGTATAGATGTGCTAGTGCTAGCTAGCTAGTGTTATAGATCGCAAGGAGAGCTTTGTTGTCATCCCTGAAGATCCTTTCGCTTTTAAAGTAAATTTTACGGTTTTGTTTCTGGAAATTATACCGGTTTATAACACTATCTAACTTACAAGGACACTTACTTAAGGATTAAAATAAAATAGCAACCCATATATTCTAAATACTGAACAAGTTACCTCTGATGGGTACAAAATAAGATACCTAACTATTATCTATGTTTTGCATACTAAATGACGCACACTTAAAAAATAACAATAACAAAAACCAAGCATAAAAATGGCGCGAAATAGAACTTTCTATGTTGTTCGCGTTTCATAATAAAAATATTCCATTGGTAGTAACTGGTTTCATTATATTTAACTCGTCCACACGGTTATTATGTAATCATAGTAATGCTTCTATTAATGGAGTGGTTGTAAATTGTAAAGCTGTGTTTACAAGGTCGAATCCAGTGCATGTGTAGATACTTTATAACACTTGCAAGTAAAGTTCACTTCTAATAGTCGTCGGCTGGATAGAAGTAGATAAGTAATTTATGAAAAGTAAAAGTACTAAACTGTATTATTGTATTGAATTGCATAAAAACAAGTGACAACAAGATTGTTAGACCATTCAATATGCTCAGATTTACAAAAAATCTTAGTAATAACACGAAATCTGTAATTTAGCTTGGTGTTTGGACTCATTAATCAACAGTGTTAGCTATAGGTAGTTCTTATTCTGATTAATTAAGTAGGTAAATGAGTTCTCGCTGACATAGCATCTATCTCTAACGAAGTATCAATTTCATAAAAAAGGTATTTGATATCCGGATGTGATGAGGAAAAATATTCATTCCATGATAAAACCATTCCATTTGCCCGGTATTATGTTTCGAAACGTTACAAAAAATACATTAGTTTATAGCTTTTACTCTATGTTTCTCTTTTTATTTTTATATGTTTCGTTGCACCCAACCATTGTTCGGTAGGAAGACCATTTAAATTGTTCCTAATAACCTTATTGAAAACTTAATGTACCTATATCCGAGGAAGTTGATAAAAGGACCTGCGCGGTTATTATGATGTAAACTCAGAATAGTTCAAATGTGGGAAAGAAACAGAGCTATACAAGACGTCTACCGAAATATCGTTCCCTCAACGGAAACACTCTGGCTTTAGGACGTCATAATACGCTACCTGTACACAATAACGAAACAAATATATGAAAAAATAAATCTTGCGAATGTATTTTTAAGATTCAACTAAATGCTGTTTGTTTATATGACCACGTCCTAAGCTGTGGAGTCTCCGGAACGTATCATCCGGTCACTCGTCAGTCAAACTACAGAAATATTTCCAAAATCAACTTTATATGTACGAGATAAAGGCCATGTGAAAGTCATATTTATACCACAAATATAGGTACTTAGAGTCGTTAGTCGGTTACCAAAAATGATTAATGAGTGGCGACCGGACAGTTTTACAATTTTTGTTTGTAAACAAGTATAAAAGTGTGTATTTGGTAAATATGAGGTGATAAGAGCATATTGTTTACCAACAGCTAATTACAGCTATCGAAAGTTTAGTGGTTACTTCAGTTTGTAAATAAGTCCATTATCTAACTGGTGAAATCTCTAAACCGGACAAAAATCAAAGCTGTAACTTGATATTCTCTGAATAAGTTCACAAAGTTGGAATACGAAGCCTATACATATATTTGTTTATTGAAAGAAATTGTTTGATGAGACGGTAACTTGGTTGGACAAAAGTAGATTTAAACTAATTAAGGTTCTACCAACCAAGTTATTTGTTATGCAGCCAAGAAAATAAGGATTAATTTAGGTCAGAGATAAAAACTACACCTTATATATGTATGTTTTACTAAATTGTATCTATGAAAACAGGCGGACGGAATGTCACTTAGAAATGAGCAATAAAGCGTCTCTTGGTTATTTATGTGTTCGACAGATCTCCGTCGTGTCAATGTGTGTATGTTCTTTTTTTATGGAATGAGCCGGTAAACTGCAGACCGATCACCTAGGTAATAGCAAGCAATCGGCGGCACCCATAGACCACACCGGAAACACCAGAGGCGTTGTTTCACGCAGGGCAAGCGTTGTTTCATGTCGGTGTTCTGGGAGGCCGTGATATCAGTCCGGTCGAGCCGACCCATTCGTGCCGAAGCATGGCTCTCCCATACTTAAAAGTTCTGCGTGTAAGTCTATATATAGTAACCAGGTGCCACTGTCGTTGCTTCAAGAGACTGTGTCCACCTTTTTTTAACGTCCTTGTGTTTATCCTTTTTACCTAGTTTAAGCTGTTTAACGAAACCAAATCTGTTTGAGATCTAACACAGGAGGTTTTAACCTTTATCACTACTTTCACAGTTTTGTTATGAGCTCGAGATTCCGACAAGATTGCTTATGTGAGTCAAGGTGGAAATATAACTGCCATCTTGAGTTTGGGCTACGAATTCAGGTCATCAAAGTTATGTAGTTTGTCATTGTGTTGAATCTTTATATCGCTCACTAAGGTACCTGCAACAAACTATGTAACTAGAAAATTGTATTGTGAACCTGATTAAAATAGAGTAACTTATGGAGTTTCTTGCTCGTTCTTCTCCATCTTTGGAATTAGCAAATAGCTTCACTTTTAATTTTATTGTTGACGTTCAAAAGTGCCTTTCTGGTCTAATTGAAATAAATGATTTTGACTTTTTTTTTGACCTGCAACTTAAGCCACAGATTCACGCTTATTTTTCTTTGATATACATACCTATCTTGTCCATAACTGAGTTATGAGTTATGCAATCCTATAACTTATTCACTCTCAGATATTAACAAATTCAGACCACTCACTTCTTTAGAATCGATAATTGAGGTCAAGGTTATATATTATACAATTGCTATATGATTCTACTGGCTACATTTCGCTAAGCGACTAAGGAATAAAGCTAGCAAGTGAAACCGGAAGACTTAATAGACATTAGAAAGATATCGTTTTGTAATTCATTAGTTAATCAAGCTTGTCTGTCTGCGTATGCATCTATGAACTTTGACATTTTAAAAAATAATTTCTAAGAGCTTTAGCACAATTTATAGCCACGCCTTCATCTCTAAAGGTTAGGTATACTTAGGAGCATTTCAAAACTTCGAAGTAAATGCGATTTTTTTTAAAATCCGCATAGAACATTTAGAATTTTATTCTATACTATGAATGAAATGGTAATTGTAGTCCCATTTAATTTAAAAGTATGTTTAATTTATCTTAATTCAAACTGCAGTAGCTGTTTAAAACGTAC